GCAACATCTGGAGAGGCTTCCTACTTCTATGCATCCTAGGCCTACATATACTTCTTTAGAAGTTACAGACATGCACTCATCAGAAACACACTTGTGTTACTGAATGATTATATATATTTCATATATAACAAATTATATATGAAAATAACAGTATTTTCAAGACAGTTGACTTTTCAAGACAGGATGCCTCGATATTTAATTTCTGCAGAACATATGAATCAGATCCATGCATGGTAGGCTGTTTTGGAAATCAAAGCAATTTGCGTCTTCTGGGTTCTTGGTCATTCACATTCTCCATAGGATTCATTTGTCAATTTTACTTTTTTTATAAAAGGGCATCAAATGTGTTAAAAAGCTCAGCATTGGAGATGAAATACTGACTGCAGCCATGTGCATCTGAGTTACGCCTCTCTGACAAACTGAGATGTTGCTGAATGACAAGGCCCAACATTTCTCACTTCTGAGGCTTCTGCTTCAACATCCTCCCAGCTTGGTCACATCCTGCCCCATTCAAGTTATGAAGATGGAGCCCTGGTTGAAGAGTGGGAATTAGGGCTACCCTGTTGTGGCTGCCCACCTCCAGATGACCACTAGGTGGCAGCAGCTAGAACTTTCAATGACCTTCTGCCCCCTACTGGCCGCCGGGAATGTTGCAGCCCAGATTGGACAGCTTTACGGGAGAGTTTCAGGGCAAAGCTGTCCCAAGAATGTGGACTGAAACCTGAGATTGTTCACTCAAATGCAAGCCTGCACAATGAGCATGATGTAACCATCCATGTTTCATTTGGCCCGACGGAGGCTGGTGAGTGTGAAAAAATGCCATGATTTTATGCAACTTTTGTAGGATGGAAAACCCTTAGGCTTGTGCAGCAGCAAAAATCAAGAGCGAGTGGGCCCCATTTTAATAAAAAATACCTCTCGGGTCCCAGAGCCCTTAGAGTCATCGAGGCAACCCAAGATTTCTTTTCTTCTCATTGACTGTTTCTGTAAGACACACCTAACCAGCTCAAAGACTTGGAAACTGTATTCCTGTAACACACTAATCTTGGTTAGTTCTCATCTTGGTTGGTGCAGGGCTATAGCGCGTTGGGTAAACCTAGCGGATTAGGTCAAATTGATGCAACGTGTTTTGTGCAAATATAAACCCAGGAAAAGGGGTTAATTCAGCACCCTCTTTAGGTGTAGGGTGTAAAATCAAGCTAGTGCAGAAAGACGGGGCAATATAGAAACATAAACGCATTCTTGGGAGATGTGATACCTGGAAATCAAGATGACCAGAGCCCAAGATCAGCACTGCAGGGTATTTAAAATAAAGAAGCAATTAAACAAAGTGTTTTCGAAGACAGGTGCGTTTCTCTAGAATATTGTATTCTCACAAAGAACAGACAAGGGGATGAACGTAGGTATGTCTGGATAGCATCACTTCACCACGTTTTTCCCCTGGGCTCCAAAATATTTTATCCCTCTGCACAGAGAAAACTAGCATTTCGAGCTTTCCACTGACGCTTCCTGTATGCAAGATTAATCTGGAGGGGAGAGACGGTTGCGTAGCGCAACACTGGAGCACCACAGCTGGAATCTGACACAATACAAGCCCCGCCATCTGTCGACTGTGGGAAAGACAACTTTAGGCTCAGCCCAAATTGGATTGCTTGCAGAGCCTCCCCACGCCCCAAATTTCCAATATTAAAGACTTGTTGCACTGGTGCAAAAATCAGGTTCCAACAACTTCACCTTTTGGGGTGCACGATGTAGTTCTGATTGCATTCAAAAGAGAAGCATGGAAAATTTTACTTGCAGGCTGAAGCACTCGGTTGCGCAATCAATAAATTAGTCTCTGGCTCCCTCTGCTGCTTGAAACTGCTTATCACTTGCATGTGCAATTTGGAAAATAAAAGATTTTATTTAGCCAGCGTTTCTCAACCTTGGCAAGTTTAAGATGGGTGGACTTCAACTCCC